ACCCTTGGTCCATGTAGATCTTGCTTATGGCAGCACATGGACAAAACCTCTGGAAGAACCACAGTTGCTGCACAGTCTGTCCCCACCTTCCCCCAAGGCAGATGCTGAGCCCACGAGCTCCCAGCCACTCTCTGGGTCTTTCCAGGGTGGCCTGGAGAGAGTCAAGAACTCCAAGGTTCTTACCTGGCACGAGTCAACCCTCCCCTCCAGGAAGCCTGCACAAATCATCCGGTCAGTGAGGGAGAAGTTGTAGAGAACATTGCAGGTCTTCTGGTCAATGATGCCGACAGAAGCTTTCTGCAGGCTCTCAGGCTTTGTGACTGCATGAAAACAAAGGGATTAGAAAGCCTGGGCATGCGAGGAGAAGGGGAGCTGATGCCCACTTGCTCAGGGCAGTCAAAGTCCAGATGGCAGCCTGCAGCTCTGACACAAGTGGCAGCCCAGATTCCAGGAGGCCGCACTCCACACTGAGTACAGCAGAAGCCACTCGGATCCTGCTGGGACTCAGCCTTGGTGGACTGTATTTCCTTCCACTCTGTGTAAGCTACAGCTGTGCAGCCCTTGGGTTTCTGCTCCGCTGCCAGGCTGGCTCTTGGGGGGCTGGAGCCAGGCAGTGCTGCTCTCCGAGCTCGGCGACTGGGTACGCAGGAGCTGAACGAGCTCTCCCTGACAGCTAGTGATGCGCTGGGGGACAAGCCGTCAGGAACAGGCCTGGTTTGCATAGACGCCTGCTCTGCCTAGGTGTGCAGCAGGCAGCTACTTTGCCACAGGGATCAGTTTGGGCTGGTTTGGGGTCACAAACCCTCCTGTATTGAATGCTGTTCTCCTGAGGGACCAGTAAAGGGCAGCAGAACTGTGCTCAATCAGGTCATGCTGTCACCTCAACTGAGCTCACTTGCTAAGCAGGGGAGGGCTGCCAAAACCCAGTGAAGGGGGGGGGGGCAGATGTTCTTACCTCCATGGGCCTCTCCCTTCTCTTGGGTTTAAGGATGAAGCCGGTTGGATTCCATGGAGAGTCCTGAGTGCTGGAGCTGAGCTCCCTGAGGGGCCGCTAACCCTTGGAGCGGGAGTGGGGCCAGCGCTGCAGCGAAGGCCCAGGAAGAGGCTGCAGCAGCGTGGCTCCCTGCTACCCAGCAAGGTCACGGAGAGCTGGACTCAGGAGGTGGCATCACACAGGTGGCCGCGGCGGCGGCAGCAGGTGGCCAGCAGCAGCAGGGGAGGCATTGCTTGACACCCCCCTTTCCAGGGGCGGGGCTGGACCCATGGGAATGCACCTTTGAGCTCTGGGTCTTCGCTGACTAAAGGCAGCCAGCTGCAAGGGGGTGCAGTGCAGGGACAGGGGAGTGGTGTGTTCAAGGGACATTGGTTTGGACTTTCATACAGCAAGGCAAAGGACACTGTGGGTAGATGTTTGCTTATGGTCAGGTGCTTTTGAACATGGTGTTTTCCCAACTGAATGCTGGGTTCCCTTGCGGGGCGATGGATTCTGCCTGAAGGGGAGGGGCATGAGGCCCTGTCCCCTCCATGGCCACGCCTCTGCCCCCCTCATCCCCCAAAGCCCCACCTCCTGGCCAAGCCAGAGCCAGGCCCAGGATGGGGGGGCCTGAGAGGCACGCTTCCCCACAGCTGCCTGTGTGACTCTTACCCTGACCTGGCTCTGGCCTGGCTGGGGGATGGTGCCTCCAGGGGAAGAGGAGGGGCAGGCAGTCAGGCCAGGCGAAAAGAGGACAGGCCAGCCCCTTTGGCCCCCTGTTCTGGCACCCCAGCGCCCCTGGTTCCCTTATCCCTTTTAGTATAAGCTTTATGCACAGACTCAGTGCTTGTGAGGGGGGAAGTCTTGCCTCTCAGAGGCACCCAGGGGTGGTGTTTGGTTTTCCCAGGTTGCTGGGTGGGGGTCGGAGCTGGGTCTGTTTTGTCTTGTTAAGAGGATCCCCTAGATATTGAACCTGCTGGCCCGTGTTGCTGCTGCCACCACTGCCTGGCAGAAGGGTTCCAAACGTTTAACTTTTTCTAGTGCCCAGGATCGCGGAAACTTCCTGTATCGGGGGTAGCCGTGTTAGTCTGTATCTACAAAAACAACAAGGAGTCTGGTGGCACCTTAAAGACTAACAGATTTATTTGGGCATAAGCTTTCGTGAGTAAAAACCTCACTTCTTCGGA